TTCGCCATTAGTCACGTTAATTACCGAGTTCCTTCCGTAGATTGCAGCAATTGGCTCCCCAAAGTGCTTTGTGAGAAAGAGAGTAGACGCACCGGAATTCTTAGAGTGATATAGTCTCCGACAACTCAAGAACCGGAGAGCGTTTTAACATGTTCGCGCTGCTTGTTTCGTGGTTCATTCTTCGACCTTCTTATCGGCTAATGACGCTGTCTCGTTCGTTGGGGAGCGACAATGGGGTGCGTGGGACTCGCCAAGCCCCGCGTTTCTGGAACTGTCGGTGGCTATACAGGGAGTTCCCGAGAAAAGAGAACCGTGTTTTCCGGCCCGGGTAAACGAAGTATGCATCGCAGAAAGCTCAGACTCCGAGAGGATGTGACGCTAGTGGTGGGGATAAAACGGCGCAAGTTTGATAACATGAAGTGACCTGAATTCACAGATAATTGAGAAAAAAATCGAATTTCTTTACGAGCCGACGCCCAACTAAGCCTTATATAGTCAAAACGGAGAACTGACACTGTGTTCGCTTGTGGGATTTATATCAGTGAAAAACACTTGACAGCCAAAAAACAATATTGTTTTCTTTCTTGATGACAAGTTTTTTTTTTGTTTTTTTGTTTTTTTCTGAAATAGATGTTTAAGCGTCCACATAGTCATTTCTTGTTTTGATGGAATTAGGCTTAGGTGGACCTCGGCTCGCAGTGAAATTTCGTTTTTCTCAATTATCTCTTCATCCAAGTAACGAGCTGTTATCAAACTTTGGCGTTCTGAACCCGACCGCTAGCATAACTTTCTTACGGAGTTTGAGCCTTCTGCAATGCATAATTTAAATACCCACCCCCCCCCCAAAAAAAAAAAAAAAAAAAAAATGGTTCTGTTTTTTTGGGAATTTCCGCGAGTATCTTTCCAAGTCTGGCCTCAGCCGACGCTACGAACCGATGAACCAATCAAACAACCAATCAAACAGCTTCGTGCTTCTTTGCGTGTTTCATCATCGCTAAACCAATCATGTACACGAAAGACGCAGTGATGGGCGTGTTTGACACTGTTTGATCGGTCCCATCAGCTCATCGGCTGCACCCGGAAGTAAGCTGAAACGAAGCGTAGACCTTTTGCACAAGGGCGCCGCCATCTTGAATGTCGTCACTTCCCGTATGGGCGAAACCATTGCTTTGCCGTCACGACGTCAGGCGATCGCGTTTCTCGGCGCAAGAGAGGACCCTTTGGCTTCGGTTGCGTGTACGTGAGTGTATACCGTTTTAGAGACTACCCAGATAAGATATGGTGGCACTGTATTGTCTATAGGGTTTCTTTATTGGGGTCTCTCCGGCAGGTCGTTAAACCGCGTAGCGGGCGGGGACCGCGAGTCTGGAATCTTATCTCTCGCGTCCCGCCTCGCCGCTGTCACAACGCAGTTGGTACTAGCAAACTGTCGGGACGCCATCTTGCTACCGCAGTTGTACCGACGCTAAACACACCCCTTTTAGGCTGGTGTGTTTAGCGTCCTATTCCGACCATGCGTTAAAAAGGAGTGCCGAAGATAACTTTCTTATCATCCACGTTTCCGCATCGCCAGCCTTCCGCTTTCTATACTTGCTTCATTAGCGCACCTCACACTTCATGCGTACTTAAATTCTTCCTAAAATTTAATGACACAGGAATTTTCGAAGACGCTCAGCAAGTTTCGAGTTGGGACCATACGCTTCGTTTCACTATATGAAAAGTTAATTAGTCAACTCTAGGTAACGAATTTTGCGAATTAGTATTTTTTTTTTGCAATCTGTGACATCCGTTATGGCTAGCAAGTTGTTCACAATTTGTTTTTCAATTATTTTATACTTAAAAATAAAAAAAAAAAAAAATCGCTGAGCACCCTCATAGTTCGCCTATCGGTCGGTTGAGGTCACCACGAAGGTATCTGTAATTTGTTTTATTATGACTGATGTGTCACTCCTGTATATCACGTCTTTGCATGTTGAACTCATTTGTGACTGTTATATGCACGAATATCAAAGCCTTCAGGATGTTTTGGGCACGCAATAAATACCAATACCAATACCAACGAAGCGGCGAAACCAGCGCTAAACAGAGCGGCCTTCGATAAGGCTTTAGCGCCGTTCACTCTCTTGCGACCGAGTAAGACCGAGAGAGACCAGACCGGTTTTTACGCCTTTTGCGACTTCTTAGGACCGGATGCGCTGTAGCGGAGCTGGTCCTAAGAGATCGCAAGAGGCTTAAAGGCCCGTTCACACTCTTGCGACCGAGTACGACTGAGAGAGACGAGATCTCTTACAACTTCTTAAATGTTTCTAGAATGAGGGAACACACTGACATTGTGGCGCCATCTATGCGGTGACCCTAGAACTGCATTTCACAAAAGCAAAGGTTTTGCGGGATTTCCGAGGTCAAATGTGTGTAATACCCATAGAAAGGCTCGTTTATAACATTGACAAAAGCTTTTCGAGCCAAAAAAGAGGATATTGCGCGAGAAATAAAAAAAAATATGCCGGACCGCCGAGTTTACACTGCTTCCCAATAGATGGCGCCAGCGTGTTCTCTGGTTTAAGAAGTTTTAAGGAACCCAGGTTTTAAGAGGTCGCAAGCAGTCGCAAGGGTGTGAACGGGCCTTTAGTCGTACTCGGTATCAAGAGTGTGAACGGGCCTCTTGTCGACAGAGTACGTGTCGCTTCGAAAATGGTTATGGGGTAAGCGGCGGTTGACTATATTCCACTATGATAACGGCGGACGTCCGACCCGTCGTTCGCGGTTATCATAGTGTGCCCAGAGATAACGTTACTTGCGATAAAGGCCCGACTGGGGTTGCGCATCGACTAGATCGCGGAAGTCTACACGCGTTTTGCAACGCCTTCTTGCGTAACCCAAGCAGAACTTCGAGTTTTCAATATGAAATTTCTTTGATTTAAATTATATTTATTTGATCTAGATCGCTGTAGTTAGGACATCGTGGTAGCTTTACCACTGGATGTAGTTTTCGACATGACAGATTGAATGATCGATTCGTCCGATCAGTGAGAATGATCTGGAAGAGAGAATTACCGTAAATGTAAGGTACAGTTTAATTAACAGCTTTTTGTCGCTGAAACTCCGCCATGCTAGAAGAAAAAACGGCTCGATTGTGTTTGATAATTAAAATGAAAACCTTATTCGATTTTTTTTTCGAGTTCTAACTTGGTTGCAATGGGATATTACATTTAGAGTTCTCGTTTCTTTATTTTGCGTCGTACTGATTTTATGGCAACAGGACGCTCGGGTTTGCTCAGAAGAGCACTTCTTTTTCGCTCGAGTTCAGTCTTATAAAAAAAACCTTTCTTGCTTGACATTGTTTTTTTTTTTTTTTTTAATTTCTCGAGAATGGGGAAAAGGGACGGGTTCAACACGAATCTCCAAACACAGCTAAAATTTATTTCGCAAAACACAGCTTTAAAGGGACAATCTTTGATATGTTTTATTACTGATTCGAATGCGTTCTTTGTTTTAAATACAAAGAAAATAAAGATAAAAAGCAGCACGTAATTAAAAAGAAACGGCAAATAATAGTAAAAATTGCTTAGTTAGTCCGTACGCCGTAGATATGCTAATCCGAACGTAAAAAAAAATTATCCTACGCAAAACACCTTGACAGATGCCTCCCGCATTCGCCCACAAGGTGTGTATGAATATATAAATAAACATCGCTATAGTCTTTCCATAACATCCTTCGGGTCTTATTACAGTGAATGAAGCCGTAAATTTAATCCTTGTACAGTCCGCCCCTGTATTTAGTTCGAGTAAAATACCAGTGATCTGGCGGTTTGTTTATTATTTCCAGGATTATTCAATCTTTTTTTTTTTATTTGCGTGTTATGTGCGTATACTATCCACCTGTTTTGTACTTTCGCATAAAATAGCATTTTTCTTTCCTGCATTTTCGTTGTTGTGCCTACGTAGGGGTTCGAGGGGCCTCGTCAAGCTGTATTTCACAGCTTTTTCCTTCGAGCTCCACCATTAATGTAGATGGGAAATAAAAGATTATAATAGAATTATAATCAAAAATTAAAATATTTGGAATATTTTAATTTTTATTAAAAATTAAAATATTTGGCATATTTTAATTTTTATTAAAAATTAAAATATGCCAAATATGCATTGCCAAATTTTTATTTATTATTTTGGCGTAATTTTCCGCGGGTCCGGAAAATACGGTATTACTGTTATAACGAACATGGCCGAAGGGATGTGACTTTTCTGAGCGCACTACCGCTTCCCCCTTTTCCACTGGCTGAGTCAATTAAGGCGCCACGGCGAAAGTCACTGGACTGTGGCTTATGGCATTTCACTGAACAAAGCTAGTGCGCATGCTCGCGGAATGCGCTTCACATTCACATCATGGCACAGCCCGTTTGATAAAGATGACGGCACGCTGAAGTCGATTGTTTGGATTAGACCATACAGGTATCACTAAGACTGGGCGTCGATTCGAAAATCTAACCCAATTTATCGCTACACTTTAGTCAATTAATTAATCAATGAGCCGGCAGCGTTGACCTTTATTTATGCATAGTGTCTGAAGAAAGTCTCAAAGCTACAGATTTTTAGATTTTACTTCTTTTTATGTTATTCATGGCGAAAAACGCCGTCTCATTTAAAATCTAAAACTGTACCGCCCATAAAAGAAAAGAAAAAAAACACGCACACACAGGTGCAAAACATTTTAAGAAGAAAATAATCTACACTATTATTAAACCTAGTCATTGCTTTGACTTACAATGCTAGGGAATGCTAGTGCATTCTCGTGGAATACAACGGTGGTGCCCCCTAAAAATACGTAGATGGCCACCAGTAGTAAAGTAAGCATTTTCACCTTCTCCACAAAATTAAAGAAAGATCGCAAATTAAAGCAATAATTGATTAATAGAAATGCTAATTGATCAATTGCCCCGCCCTAGGTATCATCGGTCCCCGAGTAACATACACATGCACGAGGGAAGACGTGGGCCACTCACGCTTCGCTGCCGATGGACGAGTGTCGGGAGACGGACTTTGGCGACATCTCGAACTCGGAGTCCGATCGGTAGAGGAAGGACTCCCTGCGCTGCGGTGGGAAGTTGGACAGCACCAGTCCCGAAGAGGAAGGGCTGGAAGCCTCGAGGAGGGCTCGGCCCCCGGGACCGCCTCCAGGCCCATCTTCCAGGTCGAAACTGTCCACGGGAGAGAAGAGGGCGCCACCAATCAGTTACATGATTCCAGGGCTTCACCGCATTCTGCGCGTTTCACTTTTCATTTTCTCTACCAAGGCCGCTTTCACAAGGCCGCTTTCACACGGCGGAAAAAAGCAGACGAACTTGTGGAGCGCAAGTTCGTCTGCTTCTTTTGGGGGGGATTGTGGTGACGTTGGAACGCCGAGCTCTGATTGGTTCTGAATGAAGAGCAGTGGGTAGACTTCAAGGCAGCTTGTTTTGAGGTCTACCCACTAGTCTTCAATTAGAGCCAATCGGAGCTCAGCGTCTTTCTGACGTCACCGCAACTCCTGCAAAAGAAGCAGACGACTTGCTAGACCGACACGCTGTTTACAAACAAGCCGGCGTTTGCCCAAACCAGGTGTGGGCACTGCGTGTGCGCAGAAACCGAATTCGCGTGAAGGGAAGCGTCTGCGCATGCGCAATGCCGTCGACAGCGCCACCGCAGCTGCGTGACGTCAGGGCCGCGTGTTGGTCTATACATCATACAAAGGACGCGGCGTTCGCTGCAAACATGATGGAGGAATTGCCTGCCCACACGTCTCAATCGCGTTCGAAGCACGTTTCCTTCATGCACATGTGTGCTTTAGTCATGCCTGCAGATGGTTTTTGTGCGACCAGTGTGACGGGGTTGTCATACGTGGAAGAAACACGCTTCGAACAGCGTCTGCAATGTGTCTTTTTGTTCCATGTATTGGCAGTGTGACCCTCGCTTCATGGTACTTGAATTGGTGACAGTGTGTTCCACGAACCCGACATGCTTGGCGTGCACAGGATTGCGGGCACTTTAAAGTTTCGGACAATATAAGTGGACTTAGTTGTAGCTGCTTCAGTTTAAACAGCGGGACAATTAAGCTCCTCCCAAAAGCCCTTCCTCGATCCACTTTTAGCAGAGCGAACCGTGCAGAGAAGATGCCAGTTGGGAGGAGGAAAGCACCAATCACTGCAAGCAGAGAACATCATTTTGTTTACTTCCTTTCGGGCAGGGGCCGAAAAGGGGGCCAGCACGAGGCTAAGAAACTTGACGAGGCACTGGTCCCTTACAGTTCATCTGTATATGGACGGGGAAAGAAAAAAATGCATTCAGCTGAAAGTTACGAACTCAAAGCTACGGCATCTTCCCAACCACAAAAAAAATTATGAAAACAAGGAAACCAAACAATACAGAGTACACAAAATACAAGACTGATTGAAAATAAAAAAAAAAAAAAAAATAAAAAGGTGGGGGTATGCGTATATACAGCCGGAACTTAGTCTGTTTCAACGGGCGATTTGTCTCTCAGCTGTAGATGAGAAATTAAGCCAGAGCAGTACAACCACTATCCTGGGGTCTTTAACGTGCACCACGCAGCAGTGATACACGACCGCACGCCGGTACGATGCTCATCCGGATCGAAATAACGGGCAGGGGTGGGGATTGAAGCCAGGATCCCTGGGTCCTGCGGCGGCAGCTTTCGCTCCACGTGCTCCGAGCTGGAGTTCGCTAGCGCATTCGGCCACCGATCCCCCAAGACTGACTGAATATATGAAGGTCCCGCTACAACTAACCTACATCATGCTATAGAACAATTTGAGGCGCGTAAAAGCTGCCCGTGCCATACCAGCCTAGACATACCCTGGCCATACTTGAAGCACTTTTATCATAAGGCAAAGTGTTCCAGCAACGAACACGCGGGCTCCGTGTGACTTCCCAAACAATCTTAAAGCCTTAAATGTGATACGGTATCGAGAGTTATCCCTAGTGTGTGTAATTTAGAAGCAAGCATTGCAACAAGCTAGCTTAAGAACTGCCAGCTGCCAGGGCGCCGAAGAATCGAACAAAGGATCAAGACTTTTGGCAAGCAGGAGCAACTTGTTTGCTCTTGAGGAAAGATAGCAACACACTCCGATTAATTTACTCGGTATCTGTTCGATTGCTTATCCCTCATCAGTAAGCATCAGTAAGCACCGACCCAACTGACACAATACGCTTTCAATGCAGGCCTTTGTTCTTCAGAGAAACCATTTAACAGTTACGTCAATGCACGCTCAGGGGGATGGTGATGATAATCTCTTTTTATCACCGAAGCGACGGATTACTCAAAATCTGCTACAAAAGTTTCCCGGGCTGAAAACATCACGCGCGATCATGTTTTGCCCAAGTCACAAGAATCCGATATCATACGATACAACAAACCCTCCAGAGCACTTCACTTTGCCGCGTCAAGTGAGCTTACTGATGCACTCTTCGTTGCATTCGGTCTCGAGTTCTACTGATTTCACACCTGTTCGGAAGAATTTCTGCTGTGACAGAAAGATACAGGCTTTTTGTAGGCCCCATATTTCTCTCGCTTATCCCGTATTTTTTTCACGTACAGATAAGCCACTCGAAACAAGAGTAGCTGTCAGAAAAAAGAGCCACAGAAGTAGTTTTGGATGTGAAAGTTCGATAGAAAAACAAAGAAACCTCTTCATAACGAAATGTATCCGCCTGCCGCGTGCCTGGATAACGTTACTTTACCGCCTGGCTCAAACAATCGGTGACACCTTGGGTATGATAAGGTACCGCCAGTTGCACGTAGCATCCGTAATTTGTAATCAAATATATAGCAAGGATTGCGGTTGAGGAATACGTTCATCCGACGGTAACAAACAATAGAATTACAAAACGCGCGAATAAAAAAAGAAAAAAAGAAATGGCAATCATCCAGCGACAAAGTTTCGGTACACGATAGCCATAAGTAGGCTGTGTACTTTCCGGTTTTAACCGAAAAACACCGATAAACATCCGCCGGTGACGAGAATACAAAATCGGTGAAAACCGAAAAACACCGGTGGTCGAATATTCAGCGCTCCGTCTGTGTACATCTTCTCTGTCCTGTGTCCTTGTTCGCGCTGTTTTACCCGTAAACATGCTTCAACTAGTCCAAATTTCAACAGTATTAGAATATTTTCTACCCGATTAAAACCGAAAAACACCGGTTGATTAATGTTTCCGCCCTATAACAACGGCTATATTTCTTCGAAACTTCTCCCCCCAGAGTTTCGTTAAACGTGTTGTCTCGTGAACTGTGCATTCTTCCAGGGTCTATTCAGAGGTTGCTATGGTTCTTGGAAGACACCTTGGAGAGCTCGTCTCTTCGCCTGGGGAACGGAGATGCATTCATCGCTATCGGTTTAGTTTTCAAGGGCGTCTTGGGCTACGGGTTTGGTTCGACGTCAACCTGTCTTGGGTTCGCTGGAACTGTTCCACTTTTTTGGGAGAGGTGGTGAAGGGTGTAAGTTTTGTTCACCTCGAAAGTCCCGCCACTTCCACAGTAAAACGTAAATTCTGTAAGTCTTTCCTCAAGTTTCAATAAAAAAAAAAAAAAGAAAACTGAATTGAGAAAACACAATGAACTTCTCGCGTTTTTGTGGTGATTCCGAGACTTAAGTTAGAGCTGCCAGCGCAAAACACACACACACACACACACACACACACACACACACACACACACACACACACACACGCGCGCGCGCGCGCGCGCACACACACACACATACAGACACACACACACACACACACACGCGCGCGCGCGCGCGCGCGCACGCACGCACGCACGCACGCACGCACGCACGCACGCACGCACGCACGCACACCCCCCCCCCCCCCCCACACACACACACTCAAAAATCGTCAATTCACGAGCCCACTGATATCCTCAAAAATAATGAACCTCAATTACTATCGCCGTGGCAGCATTTATTAACGTTGACTAAAGGTGTACAAAGCCTCAGTTGTTTTCCCCTTTTGTGACATCTCTTACTTTTAAGTACTGTGGCAACAAATTCGGCTCAAAAATAAAACAAATAAATCGATTTTTTTAGACGATATTTCCCGTTTTTAGCTTCGTCACGAGACGTCCAACCGAAATACGCCGGTGTTTAAAAAAAATAATCAGGCCTAGCTACAGGCCAACGCCTACAAATAAGCCCGCCTTTGCCCACGGCACGTGGAAGCAGTGCGCGTGCGCGGAAACCGAAATGGCGTGAGGTGACCCGACTGCGCATGCGTCGTGCCGACAGCAGTACCACCGCAATCGTCCAATGAACAGTTGTGATCACAGGTACTAAAAAAAAAAGAAAAAAAAATGCAGGACCCGGCGGTTGTCTTAAGCATAGTGTTACTACAATCAATGAGATCGGGCTATCAGCCAATAAGTGCGAAGGACGAATCAGAATGCAAGATGTGTGAACATCATATTCCATGCCCTGCGAAGCTGTCAGTAGATTATATAAACGGGCTCTTAGTATTACGGGAAAACGAAGGCCCTGGATATACATTAAGGGTTAAGATACATTATTCGGGGCAAGAAGGCTCTGGGGTTAAGATAAGCGTTCCGGAAATGTGAAATAAAAAAAAAAAAAAAGGAGAATAAGAAAAGGAAAGGGTCCTTATCGTTCTCGTTGTTTTTGTTTTCTTCGGGCGTCAGCATGGCCGTTATCTGCTACTTCCTCCACCGCTATCCGCCAATCAGAAAGCTCGGGAGGGGCGATACTTCCGGTCAAGTGGGCGAACGGTACGGAATGCTCTACTCTGCGAAACATTCAGTGATTTCAGCCTAGGCAACAAATGAATTGAGCACGTGACTTTCGAAATAAACCTATTTCTTGACAAACGGGGGATTCAAGCTCGACTCAGACTTGTACGTAAAGCATTACTTGCATCTTGTTACTTTTAGAGCGCAGCCTTAGGCGCCCGTTTCCAGCTTGAGTGGCGTCGCCGTCACCGTCGGCGTAACCGCGCGGTGCATTATGGGTAAATTTCCCCGCTAAATTTTGCAAAAAAAAGTTCCCCGCTAAATTTAACGGGAACAACTCCCCGCTAAATTTAGCGGAAAAGTTTCCCCTAAATGGGAGGCGAGCAGGAGAGGAGGAGAGGCATAGCCTCTTCTCCGTACCCTCCCCTCCTTCTCCTCAAGAGCTGCGCTCTAATTCGGCGT